CTGTGCGGGGAGGCCGGGCCTCGGCGTCCCGGACCGACGGGTCCTCTGCTGTGTGCAGGAGAAGTGCATGGACAAGCCGGGCCCGAAGCTGGACAGCCGGGCCGAGACGTGCTTTGTGAACTGCGTGGAGCGCTTCATCGACACCAGCCAGTTCATCCTGAATCGGCTGGAGCAGGCGCAGAAGTCCCAGTCGGCCTTCTCCGAGAGCCCGTCTAAGTCGGCCTTCTCCGAGAGCCTGTCTGACTGAGGGGGACAGGGGCCCCGGGGGGCGCCAGCCCAGCGGGGCTGGGCCTCCACTGCGCTGGCTCCGGGTCACTGCCGCGCCAATGAACCGGGAGCAGCCCCGGGGTGTAGGATTTAATTAAATGCCAGTCTCTGGGAAGTTGCAGATAGATGAGAGTACATGACACAGGCATGGTCGCCCCTCCTTGGGCTGACGTGCTGGGACCTCCAAGCCCCAGGAGCCATCTTTGTGCCGAGACTCTGGGGCTACTGATGCCACACAGGGAGCATTTGGATCATACGCACTCGACTGAATAAGGGGTGGTGATGCTCACATCAGGGGGTGCTCCAGCAACTCTGGGTGAGGCCAGCCTGTGACTGCTGCCTTACAAGGTGCTGCACAAAATGAACTATCCTGGGTAGACGCTAAGGAGATCTGCAGGCATCGTCACTGGGCAGTCTAGTACAGGTACCCTGAGCAAGAAGAGCTTGTTGGGCACAGTGATCATCCCAAGCAGTGTCACTACCAGCAAGTACTTTCAGGTTTCCTTAGGAAAATCATTCATGTGGCCAAGTGACATATTTTCAAACTGCAGCACGACTCTGTCCATACTGACTTGCTCCATTAACTGCTTTCCCCTGGTCAATGCAATAAATAGTAACTGGGTCAATTTTTAACATGAAATTCTCATTTGTTCAGGTAGATGATCACTGAGAATTGAATATCTGGCTTTGTCACTTCCCCTCCTCAGCTTTTCAGCACTTAAAGGGGGGCCTGTAAGAAAGATGGGGACATACTTTTTAAACATGGCCTGCTGCAGCAGGCTAAGGGGTAATGGCTTTAAACTAAAAGAGGGGAGATTTGGATTAGATGAAAGGATAAAATTTTTTATAATGTGGGTGGTGAGGTATTGGCCCAGGTTGCCCAGAGAGGTGGTCGATGCCCCATCCCTGAAAACATTTAAGGTCAGGTTGGACATGGCTTTGAACAGCCTACTCTAGTTGAAGATGTCCCTGCTCACTGCAAGGGGGGATTGCACTAGATGATCATTAAAGGTCCTTTCCAACTCAAACCATTCTATGAGAGGGAGGAGGCATAATTGTGTTTTGGCTAGATCTGCTCTGAATTCAGATTTGTTGCTTAATTAATTTAGTCCCATGAATCAAACTTGTTTGCTGAACAAGCTGCTTCCTGCTCTTACCCAAAGGGTTAATGGCTCCTGCTGTTCTGTAAAGGAGTAGTTTCTCTAGAGAGACTAAATGCACAAACTAAGTAACCAGCTACTTTTATGACCTCATGCACCTTCAGGTGCAGAGATCACTGGAGGGAGGCCTGTGGCTGTGTCTCCTGGACCTCTGCCCCCAGGACACAGGGAGTTGTTTCTAACTGGAAAAACAACAAATCAGCAATCCGCTCTCTGGAAAGGCAGCATAGAATTCAGCAGTGTTTACATACAGCACAGCTCTGGGAAGCCTGGAGTGACCCACTGGCAGGGGCTTGGAGGAACAGGACCGTGTTAAAGCAGTTCTACACTCGTACACTTGCTGTGGGAGGCTGGACAGGGCGTTCCTAACATGGGTGGCTTGTACTCAGCAGCCTTCCTGGGAACAAATTTAGGGTGTATTAAACAGCTATGCAGATATAAATCCATGTTAAGTGAGGATACAGATGGTTAGTTATCTATCGGAAAACTTACCTTAATAGCTAAGGACTCGGGTTACTCCTGTTCCTAGAGTGAGAAAGTGAGAAATTCTCTCTCCTGTCCCTATCTTGAGCTTCTCTCAAGCATCCACGCAGTTCTTCCTACCGGTGTAACCCTTCACACCTTTCAGCACTGGCCCTTGGTACAAATGTATCACTAGCCACTTAGTAACTGAACAGATTGGTTTTTAATAGAATACAGTAAGCAGGTGCTTCATCAACCTGCACAGCATACACTGTGTGAAGAGGTTGGTCCCTCCATAAGAGCCACAGCAGCACGTGACAGCACCACTGAAGTTTTCCAGTTTGGGCTGTGCTCTGTTCTTGGATGTGAATCTGTAAATAAATTCTAGCAGAGTGAGCAAAACAAGTACTTGACAGAGGAATTTTTGAATTCATAATCCAAGTATGTCATCTTAAAAACCAGACACCTATCTTCCCTCCATGTAACCTTAGCACCATGTTAGATGATTCTGTAACTGTTAGCCTTCTAAGCACGTTTTTAAACAACGCTGATGCCTCCCCAAACGTGTGGTCTCCACGTGCAGTCAGGGTTAGCACCGTGTTAGCGCTGCGGGCCTCCGCGCAGCCAGAGCCTGTGTTCTGGCAAGGGCAGCAGAGAGGCACTGGATCTCAGGAACTGGGTGTTCCCAGGGCTGCTGTCTGTAGCCACAGGAGGCTGCTTTCCCTGTCAGCCTCCTGGCAGTGGCAGGTCACCCATCTTGCAGCTGGGGCAGGCAGACTTAGCTGCCCCCCACCAGCGGAGCAGCAGAGAGCAGCAGCCGAGGCAGCGCGTTCAGCCGCGCGCTGGCCGCTCGGCAGTGGGAGCAGAAAGCTGGCACTTCAGGGGCTTCTTCACATACTGTCACCCTCTTCCTCTGTGCTCTGAGGGCCTTTGTCCTCTGAAGGCAGAAGAGGTCGGTGCTGACAGGACTGATGTCTGTCTGTACTCCTCCATGAGGTGTGTAGGTCCGCCCTGCCTCGCTGCAGGAAGAGGGGCAGGAGGTCAGGGGTGAAGGGCATGTCCCTGAAGGCGTGCAGGAGGAAGATGCCACACACAATGGTGAGGAAGCCGCTGATGGTGCCGATGATGTTGTCCAGCATCAGGTGTTGCCACTCCTTGAAGAGGATGGCAGAGCACATCATGACTGCTGTGGTGAACAGCACGTAGTAAACAGGCGTGACCACAGACGTGTTGAAGATGTCCAAGGCTTTGTTCAGATAGTTCATCTGGATGCTGATGCAGATCACCAGGCACACTAGGAGCACCCAGCCCAGTGGTTCTTTTAGGACTGGCTTCCCAGAAAACAGTTCTTTTAGGGCAATCCCCAAGCCTTTGACACAGGACACAGAAAGTGACCCAATGGCGGAGCAGACTGAAAGATAAACCAGGATGTTGCTCTGCCCATAACGGGGTCCAGCCACAAAGATAAGCAGAAGGGAGGTCACCAGGACACATGCAGCAAATACAATGAATCCTTGAAGAAAGGAATTAAAGAGCTCTATCAGAGAACAGGACCACCAGCAACAAATGTACCTGAACAGAAAGTAGGGGTGGAGGACAGGCAGGTAATTGCCCCATCAGCCTGTCTTTTTAGCCTCCAACTGTAGAGACAAGAGTTGGGAAGCAGAGCTGGTCTCCAGTCTGTGCCAAGTTGCAGAGAAAAGAGCAGCTCTTCACAATGCTGACCATAGCACCACCCCACAAGTCAGCCTGTCAGGGGATGCAGCTGCCTGTGCTGGAAGGGGTAGGAGCACAGGCAGGCTCTACAGCACTACCAGGAGTGGGGGGCTTGCTGATCAGGAAAACAAGGGGGCACAGCTCTGCAGGAAGCTGGCAGAAGGCTTTGGAAGCCCTAGCTGAACTCTGGGCTGTGGTGGGTTAAACAGGAAAGTGCCACATCACATAAGGGCAAGGCCCTGCCACAGCAGAGAGGCAACATCTGCCTGTGACTCTGCTTTGCTCTTTTCCCCACATTTTCTTCCTCCATCTCCTGTGGCTTAATCTGCCATTCATGCTATTGCCCAAATCATATCCTTGCAACCTGATTGGTCCTCTAACATCAATATCAGTACTTGATTTTAAGCATAACTCCTTGAACTGCTCACTCATCTTTGCCTGCTGTCTTTCCTCAGCCACGCCACTGCCACACACGTGCACAGGAATTCTCTCTCCTGCCCTGGCACTGCCACCCCCAAGGCCAACTCCTTCCGCTGACAGCTGCAGCTAATTCCCATGCTCTTCACTTTTTGCATCTGTACCTCATAGACAGTCCAAAAAAAGCACACTTGGTAACAGGTGATGTCCCAAGTTCTCATCCTTGCTTCAGCACAGATCCAGTGACTTGGGAGCATCACCCAGACTCCCCCTCTGCAAAGTGGGGTTCCTGTCTGCTTCTTTCACCTGGAGTCCGGAGGACCTGACAGTCCTAAAAAGCCATTCTGAAGCTGACATGTACCCCTCTGTTTTGGGCTTTTTAGGAAGGTGTAAGTCCTCTGAGCACATGCATTGAATGCTGTTTAACTCTCACCAGTCTTTCACGTGTAAAGCCCAGCCTTCTCCCACCACAGAAGGCAACTCACAAGCTACCCTGGACACAGGGGAATGTTTCCTCCACTGCTGTGCAGAGCAAGAAACAACTCAATTATCCTTTAGTTAAGTCCTTCCCAGTCGAGCCAAGTTCTATCTTACCTTCTACTGTCATTTCCAAGCCTGGAGTTGACATGACCCCTTTTATTTAAGTACCTGGATCTTTCAGCTTCTCTGCCATTGACTCCAGGCTGCAAACCTCTTCTTCCTGCGGAGCATGGATCACCATCACTGTGGAGCCCAGGATACTCAGAATGCAGCCAATCTTCCCGTGAACATTCAACTGCTCATTCAGGAAGGCAGAAGACAGAACTGCACTGATAGTAAAAAAACTACAACCAATTAGGCCAAGAAATGGAGTACCTGAGGAAAGAGATGGGAAAGCAGATCAACTGCTTTCACCCCTAAGGGATAGTGGGTCAGTGTTTCTGAGGCTGCTTACCTAACAAGGACACTTAGAGCACCCAGCGGAGTTACCAGTGTTGCAGGAGCAAAGGCATAGGCAGCAAAATTTGCTGCTTCTCCAACTCCCACTGCAAGAGAAACGTGAGTAAGTGTCAAAGTAGAAGCCATTCAGCATAATAAAAGTTTGAGTGCAGTCAGAAGAGAACCTCATTTTCCACCTAAGGAACCCATGTTTCTCTGAGGTTGTTGTGCAACCAGGAAAGATCAGCACCAGCAAGAACAATCAGAAGCCCAATACAGGTTCTCTTGGGAAAAGCAGGCTCGTGGTTATGCATGGTGACCCTTAGTCACATGTAGCTATGCAGCTGAGCAGTAACCAGAGAAAAGTATTTCCATAATGTCCTCTAAGCTGAAAGGAGTTTTGACTTGTTTTGTATTTCTAACTCATGGTTTTCTCCTGTAACAGATTTTACAGCTTTTTAAAGGATAAATCAAGTACAGTCAGTTATTAATTTTTAAAAGCATAAAACAGAGCTGCTGAAATTGCTGTAGCACTAAGGCCAGGGTGCTAGATATGCTGTTATAACGACATCATCTGGGCAGGCCACTCTAGAAGCACTTAACCCAACCCAGTTAGACCAGCCCCTCAACTACAATTTAGCAGAGGAACTGTAATGCATGAGACTTTATAATAGTTTACAGTTATAAGCAGATGAACAAAATCCTCAGACACCCAGGTAAATATCAAGCAGCCAAACAATGATCATAATAATAAAACATGAAAGGAATTGGAAACAATGGCAAACAGACTCTTAAGTGTGTCTTGCTATAGTTTCAGAGCAGGTACTTACTGCACAGCAGCCCTGCCCACCAAAGCCATTCTCGCAGGTATGCGTGACCTCCTTGCCCTAAGTAAGGGAGAAAGAGTAAAAAGAAACCTCAGATGAAGCTACACAAAAGGCCTGAAGGGCCTCAGAGAAGCAAGTAGGAGCAGCCTGATCTCTTCTAAGTGCAAGGCTGCCTCGGTCTGCCTTGTTGACGTTGGCTTGACCCAGACACGGGCAAGCACCAATCCTTTCACCCTACAGGAAAGATTTTGTCCCTCGGTTCTCCTGCGTTTGAAAGGCAACATTTCCAAGCCCTTCTAGAAACGCATCTTCCCTGGCTATGGGTGACGGGCGGCCACCCTGTGGGCAGTCTGTACAGCGGAAGGCCCCACCAGGAGAGCGGCCAAGGCCCGGCGCCGGCGGGGGGACGTGCCCGGGGGCGGCAGTACCTGCCCTGA